TGATAGGGAACACAAGGTTGAGTAAGGATATTGTTGATGTGTTGTGAGATTGTTAACCATTGTCATAGGGCAACATTTGTAGTAACTGTTTCATGAGAAACTATTTGTTCTGTAAGCCTTCACCTGAAGTACAATAAAATAAAAAAAAATAAAAATAAAAAGTTCCCTATCCCAATGGGTGGTTTCACACATTCTCCACCATAAATGAACATTCGTTCATTTTACCAATGTCATTTTGGTCCTTATCCATCATTATAAATTACAGAAGATATATCCCATCCATTTGCAAAAAAGCATGATGAGAAAATAGAATTAAAGACTCCCCAAGTTTTTACATCAAGCCCAACTATTCACCCATTCAGTTTAACTCTTAAAACCCTCTTCAAAAACCTATAAAACACTCCTGAAGTCCACCTTTCAGCCAAAGATTAGACAGGCCTATAAAACAAACAATAACACACGTGAGGAATGTGGTTCTTAGTTCAATCAAATATAGAGACCAAACGGGCAATACCTGCCCAAAAACAAAGACAAGAAAGCAGGAAGGGACAGGAAAACTGGATGAATGGACAAAGAGAACCAAGGGTGGAAAGGGAATGGCGGAGAGTGCTGACACATTGCAGGGATTGCAACCAATGTCACAAAACAATTTGTGTATAAAGTTTTGAATGAAAAACTAATTTGTGCTATAAACTTTCACCTAAAATACAATAAAATTAAAAACGAAATAAAGAAACCTATCAAAACTCCTAAACCCGGAACTCTAGAGAGCAAAAGGTTCAAAGCATTTCAGCTGTCAATAACTAGAATATAGCTGGCCATTTACTCTGTATCAAGAACACAATTTGTTAACAAGGTACCATTTAGTGATAAAATTTTGTAATAAAACTATCCCACATTATCAAAAGAATGGGATTTTCTTGTATTCTAATATTTACTACATTTTGCTTATGTGGCAAATCTGGTAGCATAGGACAGCCATGCGAGTATAATCATCATCATCGGGGTCTTTAAGTACCCTAATCTCTCCTTGCTTGTACCTCTGAACTTCCCCCAAAAGCAACCTTCAGCTTAGTGATTACAACTTCCTGCTATTTCTATGCTTTCATCTTATGGATCAAATAGGGATAAATTGGTAGGATATGTGGTATTGAAAAAATAACCCAAGATGATTGTTACCCAATCCGTCCACAAGAATTTTATATTCTTCTTTTCCATTCTGTATCTTTACATCCCAGCCCTCTGTAGACCCTGTCCCAGGTCAACTCAAAGATAAAGAATTAAAAGTTTGTGCTCTCAAGAGAAAAAGAAGGAAATAAGTTGTTTTGATTCTGTTCCCACATGATGGAAACCTAGAGGCATTGTACTATGGAAATATTGTAATATATAGTAGACGGGTTCCATGTGAATACATTTCAAGTACATCGGTGCTGGAACAAGCATTTGTCAATGGGTATGAAACGCTAAGACCTTACAACATTACATCCTGAAATAGATTTCCCTTTAGAGAAACAAAGGATCAGACTTGTGTTCATTTATAAAACAATTTGTAGCTGGGAAATGCCTTTACCAAGACATGCAAACCTTAAGATTATTTGAATGTATTTATAACGCTCGACAGTAAACAATCAACTATAAAAGATTACAAGACAATCGTATTAACATCCTCCGATCTCCTCAAAAAGTTCGCAGCTCAATTTAAACATTCTCAAGAATAAAATCAATTAAAAAAAAAAACAACAATTTTTTACATATAAAATGTAGTACCTGATCCATCTGTGCCTGAACCAGATCTGACAGATCCATCTGTGAAGGATACAGATTCAGAATCCGAGTCGCTAGCCTCACTTCGAGTGTCATAATCATTTCCCTCCTCCTTCTGGTCTCTCTCATCCTGTTCATATTCTTCTTCTTCTTCTTCCTCCTCCTCCTCTTCCTCCTCCTCCTCTCCATCTTCATCCACCTCTTCATCTTCCTCTGCATCTTCTTCTACCTCTTCATCTTCCTCCACATCTTCTTCCACTCCTTCCTCCTCATTCTCCGTGTTGTTACCTTGCTCATCAGAAGAACCACTGCTGCCAGTCTCACGGTCGGAACCATATTCTTCAGAGTTCACTTCTTCCTTAGAAGATTGGCTAGATCTGCTTGCGCGTCTATCCACATCAAGCCCAATTCTCTGATGTTTAAAGAAAAAAGGAATCAACAGTCATATAACAGACAAGGTCAGGGTGAACAAATAGTTCTAAAAAGAACTGCTTTCTGTTTTATCTGCAATAATATTTACTACCTCAGAATCATCTGGTGTTGGGGATTTGGCCCTCCTTTCAGGATCCCTTTTCCGGAGACAAGTCTTTTCAGGTTGACTCTTGTAAGGTTCTCTGGAGGCACTGCTTGACAAACGGATCTTCCGATCAGCATCTAGACGCTTGTTTCTTTCAGATCTTTGATATTCCTCATTTTTATACTCTGTGACCGACTTTCCTTTTGTACTAACTACTCTTTTGTTATTGCTAACAGATGAGCTCAGTGGCTTTGAAATCAACTGTCTTGAATGAACAGAAGGCTTCTGTCGTTTGGTGTCAGTAGATTCCATTCGGTCACTTTTTCTTTTTGATCCTTAAAAATATGATTTAAAAAGATGTAAAAATGTGGTATTCTACTTATCTTACAAAAAGATTAACAGATAATATACATCAGGGAGAAACAAGTTTCATTTCTTTAAAATGTCTTCTGAAATACTTGTATTCCAAAGTTAATCTAAAAGAAAACAAAGCTTTTGAATACATGGAATAAACCCATGTATTTGAGAAGTTTCATATGGAACAGGATACAACAGTTTGTTATACTGACTGTCCTTTTGGTGTCAACTGTCTCAAGGAACAAATACAAAAGCTAGTCATCATCTTCAGAAATTATATCTCTTCTATTTACATTTTTATTTAGCAAAATAATAGGAACATTACATACCCTTTTTCTCGTTTTTATCTTGTTCACTTTCTGGGTTATACAGTTCATCATCCTGTTCTGGTACTTCAGTCAAAATATCATCGAGAACATTAAGCTCTCCATCTGAAAACAAAAAATAAGGAAACATCAGTATTATTAAGCATTTATTTTTGAGTACTGACTATGTTGAGGCCATGGAAGTATGTGAGCATAACCCTCAAGGAGCTTGTATTTCAGATTAAGACACAAGAGTCATATAAAACATTACAAAAGAAGTTGGCACAGAGCTCTGGTCTACAAAGCCAGGAATATGCACCCCACGGGGTTATCAAGGCTGTGTACTCCCCACAAGATACTTACTGATTACCAAGGGAAATATTATTAACTTTCCAATGGCAAAATCTGACAGACATCAGTTTACATAATCAAACAGTATCACCAGTTATGGGACAAATCAGTATCACGGGCCTCCTGGTGACACACTGAGAATAAAAAAATGCTTGTGTGGTACCACTAAGGAAAACTCAAAATTTTAATGTAATCATGAGGAAATATCAGATAAACCCAATTAAGAAGCATTCCAAAAGTAACTGACCTGTATTCTCCAAAAATGTCAATGTCATGAAATATACAGACTAAAGAACTCTTTCAGATTAAAGGATATAAAGAGACATACAACTGAATACAGGACAGGATCTGGGATATAACTGGGAAAATTGGTGAAATCTGAATAAGGTTTGTAGATTATAGTATGCATCAATGTTAATTTCCTAATTTTGATAGTACTGTGGTTAAGTAAAACAAAGTCCTTGTTTTCAGGAAATATATACTCAAGTATTTAGGGGTAAAGGGACATCATGTCTGCAATTGTCAAAACAATTCGAAGGGAAAAGTGTGTGTTTGTGTGCATGTGTGCGCACATGTAAGCACATATACACATTGAAAGAAACAAATGTGATAAAATGTTAATATTTGGGGAATATGATTGAAGGGTAAAAGGAAATTCTTTGTACTATTGTACCTATTCTGTGTATCTTGAAGTATGTCAATATAAAAAAGTTAAAAGAACAAAATGATTGATGTGATACACAAACAAAAAAGTCTGGAGATCACTGGTATGGACTATAAAAGTATAGCTAGTTCTGAAAAGAGAACTATGACTATACTGACATATTCAACAATCATGAAAACTTAGAAGTCAGTTTTGTCGTCCAACCCTCACCCTCCTCCATTTCCAACACTACAAAATAAATCTTTGAAATACATGCAAGTATTTATCACTTTAAACTGATTTTTTTGGTAATGCACTAAAGCTAATGGTAAATATTCTGAACACTAAGTATTCTGGTATCAAAAATACCTTTCAAATTTAAGGTATGGGGAAGGGAAGTGTAAAGTCCCGAAAACTGGTAAGATAGCAAAATTATAGTTACGGCTCCAGGACACCAAAGACTGCTCCAAGTATAGCAGGGTAATTATTAACCTGGGGTCTATAAACTGATCAGATGAGATTCAGGAGATCTGTAACTAACTCTCTCCTAATATTAATTACAAGTACATTTACACACAAACACACACACTTTTCAAGAAAAAGGCCAAAAGACTTTTCACCAGTTCTCAAAGGGCCCTATAACAAAGTCAACCATATTCATGTACCTGACAAAAACACTCGTGAAAGAGGAGTGTTTGGAGAGAAAAGCAACAAGGGCAGCTCATCAGAGGAGCCAAAGAAACACACCGTTTCAAGAAAAAATTATAGGTAATACATACTGTAAGGCTCCACAGATGAGAAGGAAGAAAATCCTGTTTGGAAGGTAGAGAAGCTCAACTACAAGTCAGTGAAGCTGAATGCAAAAAAAAGGCAAAAAGTATGAAGACAAGATTCTTCCCTGATTTAATTTTTTAGACAATCTTCTCAACAGGATAGAAAAGAATAGACGTGCAAATAGAAAGAAGTCTAAGGAAGAAACTGAAAAGAAAAACAAAAGTATAAAAAATAGACCACTAATACAGGTTGGTCACCAAAAGAAAGGCAAGAAACAGAAAGATAACTAAAGAGAGGAATTTTATTTTATTTTCCCAATATCTGGAAGACATGCACAGCTCCAAAGAAGAAAGAAATTAGTGACCAAGAGAACTAAAACAGTTAATAAAAAAGATAAAAAGAGAAGGCTACATATAAAATAAAAAAGGTAACATCTTTCTTCTTCATTTGGAGACAGACACATGCCATTTAAGAATATCTGAAAAGCACATATACTTGGAAAGGGATATAACAATTGATTTCTTTGGGTGGCAAGAATGTCTATCTGCGCTTTACCATTTTTCTAAAATAAATATATACTATTGGGTTGTTTTTATTTTTGTTTGTTTTTTAAATGTTATTTAAAATAAAGGTAAGTCAACCAAAAAAGCTTTTCTCATCCTCTGAATTCAAGCTTTCCCTAAGGACGAAACTCCCTCAAGATCTGCATGGTAGTCAGCTCCATTTTTAGACCCTGTATTATAAATAAAAAATAAAAACAAATTAAATAATTTCATAGAGAAAATCCAAGGCTGGCACATGTTTAACAATTCTTGAATCAAAATTATCTAGTCAGTAAATAGGGAGTCCAATAAATCCTGACAATCAAATACGTTTGTAGAAGACAAAAATAAAAAGCCAAACCTATCACCACAAAATAGGCAATTAAGTAAATACTGAACTAGACAAATCTCTTCATGAAATCAATAGTTCTTTATTAGAAATATCACCCCAAAAGCCTCAACGTTTACATTAAATTATACACGTTGTATGTGCTAAATTTAACATAGAATGAAACACAGAATTATACTGGTTATCTTAAATCAACTTAAATTACAGATATGCCTAAATCATGGTTTCCCTACAAAAAAGGGTGCCCTGTTTGAAGAAGCTTTAATACTTATATTAACCAAATTCAGAAAACAGCTAGACTTTTTCAACACAAGTATCAACCAATTTTTACTTAATAAAACGCCTTGTCTGTTTAAAATTTATCATGTTCACATCATATGAAACACATAAGGCATATATTACTACTTACTACTTTGCAGATATGAAATAGAAGCTCAGTGTACCAGAAAGCTCTGTACCCCCAACATTAGAAAATTTTTAATTTACTAGAATACTGAAGGTCAGCCATAACATACTCATTTGATGGTCTACGTATTTTTATGAATATTATGTACAGTCTATGACATTAATAAGCTGTGTGGTTTGATCACAATCATATAAATCATACCATCTGAGGCCTGCAGGCCAAATTCTGCTGATTTTTTTGGTATGGCCCACAAGAATGGTTTTTATACTTTTAAGGGTTGTTTAAAAAAAATAATAATAATAATGAACAGAGGCCTTATGTGATCCACAAAGCCCTTTACAAAAAAAAGTTTGCCAACCCCTCATAAATTATCACATTTCAAGTTACCTTCCTACATCACTGAAACCATGTCTATATTTACCGAAGTATAATATACAGGGAAAAGGGATTTGGTTTGGGAGGTGAGGAATCCAGGTCACCACCAAAGTAGCTAGGTATCTTTGGGAAAGTCTGAGTCTTTCTGAGCTCCAGTTTCACCACCTCTGATATTCAGAATAAAAAGATCAGTATTTTGGGAAGGGAAAAAGAGGGCAGTAATTTGAATCTCCTGATGAGTTTTTCAACCTACAAGCCTTTCCTACCACCATCAGATTCTAATAAACCGCCCCCCCCCCCATCCTTTTGTGAATGGCTAGGCTACATGATATACAAAATCTGGTCCAGAACACACAAAAAAATCGTCTTTCTTCAATAAAGCAAAAGGATACACGTCCCGATAGCTACTGCTGCATAACATACCACCCCAAAACTTACCGGCTTAAAAAAATTACAATTATTTTTATTATTATTGCTCATGGTTCTACAGCGCAACTAGGGTCACTCATGTTTTTGCAATCACATGGTGGCTAGGGCTGGAATCATCTGAAGGCTTACTTATTCACATGTCTGGTGGGTGCCGGGGTGGGGAAGACTCAGAACAGCTGAGGTTCTCGGGCATTTTCTCTCTCTCTGGTCACTCTCCACCATGGCAGCTTTAGGGTAGTCAGACCTCTTACATGGTGGTTCAGGGCTTTAAAGGAGTATGACCCAACAGAAAAAGAGATCAGGGGAAAGCCCAGCTAACACTACTACCAACACTACCACCAACATGACACCATGGCATTTTATTCGTAGAGGCAATCACAAAAATCTACCTAGGTTCAAGACGAGGGGACACAGAGTCCCTCTACTGATGAGAGAAGAGTCAAGTACTTGGTGGATGTTCTTGGGATTTTAATTATAAATGTAGGGCAGTCTTTAAAACTAGAAGCTGGTTTTAAAAGGCCAGTGTGAGAGCTTAAAATATTGGGTTGCAAAGCCAACTTAAGGTACTGCTTCTGACCAATTCCTTCATGGCTAGAAAAAGTACATTTTGTGTATTTTAATTTATTTTTCCAACTTAGAATGAACTAGTTATAATGAAAGGAAACATTTTAATACTCTCCAAAGCTACCACTGTTAAAGACTAATCATCACTGGTACATGCTTTTTGAAAAGAAATAATTATCTCTTTAAGACATAAAATAATATCCACCAGTTCACCAGGGTGACTTTCTTTAAACTACCTTAATAGTTTTAAATCACTCTTTCTTTGCCCTGAAATTCAGTATTATTAACACGCTGTATGAATAGAGATATATACAATTGCTTCATAGTACTTTCACAGCCGCATGCTAACCTAAGAATATTAACAGTAAAATGAACAAAGATTAGTGAATGTCAGATGGAGCATTTCATGAACATACAATTCATGTACTATAAAAATAATCCTAAGGCATTATTTCTGTGGAATATAGCCCTTCACATTAAAAGATATTTTGATAAGTCTATATAAACTATACACAGACATTTTAAAACCTCTACACTTCTGTGTTCCAAAATTAAGACACCACAATAAATTTTTCAATGTGTCAGCACAACAAATTAGCTCAAATTAAACATAAAATGATTCATTAAACAGGTATTTCCAATTACAGCTAAAATTCAAATCCACCCAAAAGTTGTACACTAGCAGCTTGTAGG